TTGGCAGGGTGGCTTGTGTGGAGATTGCTGCGACAGAGCTGATGTTGAGCATAGGATGCTGGCGCTAGCGAGAAAGAGTAGTTAAAGGTAGAAGGTGCAATAGTATCAAACTTGAAAGTTGAATTCAGTTATTCCTGACTCTGGTGCCCACACTCTCACCCAATTCCAATTTCAACCAAATCCATTCGATTCCGATTCCAGTTCTAGAATCGGAATCGAATCGAGATTGTTGCATGCCTATTTGTGTCTTGTCCAAAGACACTGTATGAACGATATTCTCAGGGCTCTATTACAATATTCGGTTGCTAAGTGTTGTGCAACGTAATTGCTTGAATATAATAAATAATTAAGGTATGGGTTCGAGTTCCGCGAAGGTCACTGTTTCTTGATTCTTCTCTCGTTCGTTCCCTTTCGCTAATGTGCCAGATGTTGAGCTAACACTTGTACCTTTTCCTTTCGGCTTCCAAAAAAGGAACATCGGTTTTACGATATATTTATATCTGCTGTAGAAGACGGAACGCACAGCTCCTAAGAAATATGAAGTTCTATTTTAATCCTTTTGGTCTAGCGTTACAGATACAAGATGACAATAAAATCTCTGTATGACAGTCTTTTGGAGGTGTCAGCACTTTCAAGAATATAAATTTTCAATTGCAAAGCAGGTCAAGTTATGCATCCAGCAAATGAATTACGGCAACAATGTCCTTTGGAAAATGGCCTTAACGAAATGTCCTCTGATTTTGAGCCTCAAGAAAAATGTCCCTATCGTCGAATGTCTTTCATAAAAGTGTCCTTTAGAAAAACGTCCTTTGGAAAAATGTCTTTAGAGTAAAAATGTTCGTTACCTGCAGCAGTTTATTTCGAATGATATTATTCTAATGGCTCGATGACGCTATAATTCAAACATCTACGAACGCTGAAATCAGTCATTTGAATATAGGATTCAATTCTGGAAAGCAGAATGTGATAGAATACTACTAAGAAAGAACGGCGATTCGTCATTGTTATATCACGACTGATTATGCTAACGCGAAGATTAGAAATAGTGCAGCTGAATATTTTTAATGGAATTGAACGATTATGCGTTCATTGATGAAGCAAGTTCATCATCATCTTCGTCAGCTAAAGTCACAATCAGCACAACAACAACCAAACGAAAGACAACGTTAATAGTGAGTGGTTATCATTTTTAAATGAAGGATTACAACAAAGCGAAAACCATGAAATTTTGGCGGTGTGCTAATCGAAATTGTGGAATGCTGCTGCATACAATTCTTAATCGTCAATTTGTACGGTTTTCTGGGAAAATAACCGATCATTCACATTTGCCGGATCCAACTGCATTCGAGATTCGAACGTCGAGAGAACGAATGCGAAAACGGGCCGAAAACGAAATATTACCATTGCGGGGAATGGCTGAACAAGAAGTACGAAAAGGTCTCTTATCTGGTGAAGCTCTCGCAGTTTTACCAAATATCCTTAATCTTGGTATGTTACTGATAATCTTGACGAGATAAACACAAATACATTTGTTTCAGGTCACAATTTGGTACAACCGTCGAAAGTTGACGCCACCACTTCGACAGTCATGTTCTCTCGACATCCCAGATGTGTACAAAAAAGATTTCCTCAATCGTAATCGTTTATTGTTACATGACAGTCATGATGCGCAATTGGAAATCGACGAATCATTATATCTACGACCTGAAGGCAGAGTTTTGGTTTGGTCATCAGACATTCAACTAAAACTGTTGCTCGATAGTGAAAAAATTTACATGTATGGTACTTTCTTCACCGCTCCACCGAATTTCGATCAAGTCTATATAATTCAAGTTATTCATCAGGAAACGTATAAGTCATTTCTAATTTTTCGAATATTCAGAAGTTTAAATGCATCTCATTCCAACAGGTCTACCTGCAGTATATGCCCTACTTCATAATCGGAAAACAACAACCCACTGCTATCTGTTCCATGTTTTATTTTCTGAAGCAAAAAAATTCAATAAAAAATTTGATTATATCCTCATCATGACGTACTTTGAAACCGATGTTGCCAAAGCCATCGCAATTGAGGTAGATTTTTTATAAAACTTCTCAATATCTATGAAGGAGAAGTGTCAATGTTTCCTTGTAAATCTCAGAGAAAACAATCCAAAAGGGATGTGTCTTTCATTTTTGCAAGGCTATTTATCGAAATGTTCAAGCGTATGACCTATCTTCGATTTATCTAGAAGATATTAGGATCCGTAGTACGATTCGACAGCTTTAGCATTAGTACCTTGCGAACACGTTCCATCGTTATTTGTTCGTCTCGACGAGGAACTCGATGAAAATGAACGTGTTCAGTTAAGTTGCGTATTTAAGTATTTTGAATCACAATGGATACAGTACCCTTACATGTGGAATATCTTCAATGTTTCAGAAAGAACTAATAACTTTAACGAGGATACGTCAATCTAAAGGGATAAGAGAAACTTCTTATTTAGTCACATATTTAGGATATAATTACCGATTCACAAGAAGGTTGCATAAATCTCATCCTAATATCTGGGGATTTATCGTTTCTATTCGAAACAAAGTCCATACTATCCACGATTTGATCTTTGAAATAAATTGCGAAATGGAACCTCGTGAAAAAATAAATCAATCCAAAATTGCAACACGAAGAATTATAGATTTATACAATCAATTTAACAATAACAAAATTTCCATATATGAATTATTACAGTAACTTTCTTTCTTTGTTGCGAATGAAAAATAAAGCGCGAATTTTCAATCGTTGCAAAAAAAATCCAGATGAATATTACAATTGAATATTGGTCATGTTTTGGTAGGAGGACATTTTTTAAAAGGACTTTATGATAGAGGACCATTTTCAAAAGATATTTCCTATCAGGGACATTTCCACTAGTGGACGTTTTCTGAAGGATCAAAACTTGGCGGACTTTTTGTCAAGGACATTTTATAAAGGACATTCATGACTGTTACCCAGCAAATGACTAT